GCAATGAGCTTAAGTTCAATACATTTACTTGAATTTTCAGCTACGATGACGACGTCGATGTCGTTGACTACTTGGCATCGGGAGTGGATATGCTCTATGCCATGGCTGAGGGGTGGAAGCTGATGGGTGGCAGAGTCGACGGCTGGGGGCAACAGGGTAGCCCCCATGCCCCATTACAGCACATTCTGTGGCGCAAAAAATGTTCGGGAAAAGCGCAAATGTGCGAGGCGATAAGCAAAGCAGCAGTAGCAGCAGCTCCACTCAAAGCTCGATTCTGGCGCCTTGGGAGGGACAATTTTGGCTGTGTTTTATTTTTTCGGGACACTACATAGAGCTGGGCTCCGTCCGAGTCCTATTCCAAGGCAATACAATATGCGCTTGAAAGTCAAATTATATTTATATTCATAGCTATAGACGCTCAATCTGTCAACGAAAATCCACAATAATAAATTGAAGCAATACGTCGAGCATCAATCATCCAACTTTCTAGTCAATCAATCAACTCAACTTTCATGCTCATTTTTTTCCATAAGACAAGATTTAGGCTTTACCAACTCTAAATAACTAAGCAGTACAGAGAACATCTCAAGTCAATCAAGCAGTCAATCAATCTACATCATCCTACTATAAGGCATATAGAGGCGATTATCAAAATTATAGGCTGAATTTTGGATAGCAGTAGACTAAATCAAGTCTGTCAATCAGCTAATTCTTAGTTTCTAGCAAAACCAATAGAACATTTTCATAGCTAGACGTGGTATAGCACTCATCAATCATCATCAATCGTTTCAATCAATCAATCTGTTAGTCCTTTTAGCTCTTACATAATAATGAGATAATAATAATAGTCAATACGAGGCTAGCAATCAAACAGTTTGCTAATCAATCAGTCAATCAATCAAACATTCCTTCATCGCTCTTATTTTAAATTTACAAACTTACGCATCAATCAGTCCATTGATCGAGAAGTAAGTCAATCAAGCCCTTCCTAACGCATATATCGCATAGCTCTTATAATTTTAGGCTGTATTTAGAGACAGAATCTCTAGGTCAAGCAATCAATCATTCAGTCAATCGCTTTCATTTACAATACTTCAGAATCAGTTGAGCTGAAGCTGCGAAAGGGTGTTAGACTGTGAGCATCACTAACGGCATTTACCAACGTTTTTCGGCACACACCCACACCCATCCACATCCCACACACACACACACACACACATTGGGCGAGAAAATTGATGTCCATGTGGGTGGGCTATGTGTGTCTGTGTAAGTGTCTGTGTGTGCAAGCGCTTTTTGTGGATTGAGATTTTGGTGGCGCGTTTGTAAGTTTTCCGTATTCTTTTTTCGCTCTTTTGCAAATTTATCGCTTTTAGATAAAACGTTTTGCGTTTTTACGATACGAGCAGCAAACGCTGCGAACTATCAGCGAGCGATGCTGGAAGAGCTTTGTTTTTATACCCTGTACCAATTGGGCAAATGATAGCCAGATGCGTAATGCGGCAGGAGGAAGCCTTGGCGACTGCATAATGCCGATGGCAGGAATATCGATAAATATCGATTCTTTAAGTATGCTTTCTTTTCACATAAGTCGGCCAAGCTGGGATATACCATCCGGTATGTAGGGTATATCCTTTAAATATATATATCATTTCCTTGTTGTCTTATTCCTGATGAATATAAAACAGAGTCCAGGGTATCCCAGAGTCGTTTCTTTGGCCTGTACACTGCTGGATTATGAAGTAATTTAATTAAAACGTTTTAGCACAAAATAAATTTCGAGCTTATTTATGCAGCAACAGTTCGAGGCCAAAGACGAGCACAGAGCCGAGTAGGGCCCACAGCGTTAGCCAGAAGAGGGCGGCCAGCTCCTTGAAGGATAATACCAATAGTTTGGCCTGCACCGCCTCATCCTCGCGCTGCTCGATTTCGCCCTCCGGCTGATGGCCATTGAGCGTCTCATAGGGCACCGCCGGGATCCGGGCGATGCTCTGCTCGGATTCATCCACAGCGCTAACATATTGCCGGGTCCAGTGCTCGAGGAAGCCATGCGAATGCGCCTGCATAATCTGCTCGTTGAGCACGCCAACCAGATGCGAGTGCCGGCGCACATTGAACGCCAGCTGCTGGGTGAAGATGCGCTCCCTGACCAGATGCAGCCGGCGACTCATCGCGTGCACCTTGCGAAAGTAGCCAAAGTATTCGTATGGCGTTATGATCGCCACACGCGCATCGCTGCCGCTGAGCGCGGCCAAGCCGGCAAAGGACTGCAGCTCGCTGGTCTCCAGCTCCTGCGGCGGTTCCCGATCCTTCAGCTCCGGCAGGCTTTCCATCCAGCGTTGCGCATTGCCAGGCGCCAGCTGAACCGTATACCTCTGGGCCAGCACCTCGGCTATGGTCTGCGGCGGATTGCGCTGCCTGTCCTGGCGCAGCATCTGGTACATGCCCGACTGGTAGGCGCTGCGTATGACCAGGGTGCACAGCAGCCACGTGACCAGCAGCAGGCGCAGCGAAATGCGCTGCGGCAGTTGCCGAGACAACAGATTTCCGCCTATGGTCAGCACCATCAGCAGGTAATACGGATGCTGTGGTAGAATTGTAAAGAAATCAGGATTGTAAATAAGCTTTTCTTAAATAAATCTAACCTCAACTCAACAATCACTACCATAACCTCAAAAAATTGTGAACTTAACCTCAATATTTGTGTAGACATTAACATATCTATACAAATATGAATTGTAGTCATATTTTACCTGCGGCATCTTCTTCGCAAATCGCTTCAATAGCCAAACGACGAAAAAGCCCAACGCTAGGACCAACGCAATGGCCCGCCACAGAGCGGGATGAAAAGGAAAAGCCAGTTTCTCATAGGCCGAGTAGGCACTGGGCAGATTGGTCACCAGCATAATGTGGCTCATGAAGTAGTACCTGGACTGCGAATAGGGCACCTCATCCCGCTCGTTGGGCTTATAGTGGAAGCCGCCCAGAGCGTACTCCGCTTTACTAAAGATCTGTAAACAAAGTAAAATTACTAAAATAATACTAAAGTATATACCAAAATATTGTAATCATAAATAAAAATACCGAATAAAATACCCATATGTTAGTTCAGTACAGCACTGGTTTCTCTTCAATGGTTCAACCGTAATACCCAAGATATATCACGTATACGCACCTTCTCAAACACCCCGCCGGACTCTTCGAAAGTCTCGCGCACTTGCGACTCGTTCAGCCAGTAGAGGCCGACGGTAAAGTTCAAATTATCGGCCATGAACTGCAGCAGCTCGCCCTCGATGCCCAGGAAGGTGCCATCATCGCGTCTCACCAAGTACGGCATGTCCGGCCAGGTGGCACAGGTCAAAGTGCAGCCATAGAAGTTGTCCAGCTTGGCTGGGAAATAATCGTCGAGCTGCCAGGTACCCAGGTTGCCATCAAATCGATTCACAATACTGGCACGGACACGCTGGCAGCCGTGATTCGCACTGTACGGAAAATAGCTGAGCAGCAGCAGATCCTGTCCGTCGAACATCAGCAGGCCAGCTTTCAGCACGCTGCGGCTCCACAGCAGCTTCATGACCAGCTCCGGCTGCGGATCCAGCATATAGATGAGCGTATAGGACATATCGCTGGTTGCGCCCAGCTGTTCGTAGAGTCGCTCCAGTGCACGCAGATCCTCCACCAGCAAGAGCACAGCATGCCTATACGGCCTGTACGCAAGGACCCTCTGCTGGTACAGGCAGCGCGGTTGCGGCTCTGCGGCTGGCAATGCCATCAACACGCCACCCAGCAGCTCCAGCAGCGGCGACCGCGCCGTCAACGAGCTGTACTTCAAGTGAACGTAAAGCGTCTGGCTGTGCGACATCTCCGACTGCTGCAGCACCTGGGCCAGTGCCAGCGACAGCGAGTCCAGCCTTGAGGTTGTCTCCATCACCAGCGACGCGTGACATTGCGGCGGCAGCAGCAGCAGCAGCAGCGGCGCCAAACTGAGCAGAGGACAAACAGTAAGCCGCATTTCTCGGCTTGTGAGCTGCAACTGACATCAAATGGCTTTGCCTTGTTTTTGTTCCAGCTCATGTTCTTGTTCTTGAATCGGCGACTCCAGGGAAATATATTTAATGGACAGCTAATAAGCACTTGGACGTTTGATAATTCGAAATGCTACCCTTTGCCTCATGATTAGCATTTATCTGATTGTCACAATTACTCAATAAGGCGAACCGTTAAAAAATTGCTTCATTTAATTGCAATCGATTAGTGGTTATCGAAATGACGATCCACGCACTATCGTGTCAAACACTAAAAAATACCAAAAGAGGAGAGCGATGAATATGCTGAATAAACAATAATTGGCAGATGAAAACTAAATGAACAATAAACTGAGATGAATTATAAATACAAATAATTAAAAAATACTTGAAGAGTCATTATCAGATACATCATCATCATGGAAATTTAATAAACGGTAACAAAAGTGAAACCTGAGCCATTCAAAAAAATACCAAACAAAATTAGGGAAATTTAAACGATTTGAACAGAGAGAACTAAGTGATCAAAATAAGAAAACATAATTAGCAATTCTAAATAGAGCTTATAAATGCAGAATACATAAGGCCACAAGCATTGCAATATATTCGAAGAAAGTCCATTAAAGCATTAAATCGAATTCAACTCAGTAATTGAGTAATTGAGCCAATCAGATGAAAATACATACGCCTCAAGGGCTTGGTAAATATACACACACGCACACATACATAGATTTGTATGTATGTATGGGCTGTTGCGCTGACACATGTTTATTAAATAAGCATTAAACGGATTCCCCATGAGTCAGCCGAGGCAATTGCCTGCTGAGGAAAAGCCAAAGCTAACTGCTGAGCAAGCGCCTGCTGCTGCTGTCTCTCTCTCTCTCTCGCTCGCTGACTGTCTCTGTGTGCTTGTCGATGTATAGAATGATTAACGGTGCTCTCGTAACAACTATCGATAATTAAAACTCAAAGTTTTTCATTTTCTACATTTTTGTAAAGTGCTTCTTTTAATTGGGTGTACATACATAATTCAAATAACTTTTAGCTAATCATCAATAATATCAGTATCGTTATCATCATCGTTATCGTTATCGTTATCGTTAGCGACATCGTCATCGTCATCCTCGAAATGAAAGTAGTCCACCTCGTCATCAAGATCGTCCTTCTTGGCGATGCGTCGGTTTTTCTTGTTCTTCTCTGTGGTCGTTCGCATTGCATTGTCCAGCTCCTGCTCCTCCGACTCCCGTTCCTCCTCCGTCTCGTCAAAGAGGCCACGCTCGGCGGCGCCAAGCTCATAGACAGGCTCATCCTTTCCCTTGCTTCTGCTGCTGGACAGGCGCACCAAAAGCGGCGGCTTGACAACCACACGCGTCTGATTCGTATGATGATTGAGCATGCCCTGATAGAGATGGGGAAACCGACGCTGAAACTCCGCTTTAATGCGCAGGAGGCGCTCCAGCATGCCGGGCGTGAGCAGCTGCTGCGTGCGCGCCATGATGTGCGTATCTCGTCGTGGTCTCAGATACGCCTCATAGCTGCCGCCGCCGCTGTACAGAGGATAGTGTGGATCGTACGGCTTCTGGTTCCAGGGATCGTTCGGCTGGGCCACGGGCAGCAGACCCATATACGGACGGAGCAGGCTCTCTTTGTAGCCAATTGTGGAGCCAACAGTTTCGTTAACATTCGATGTGGATGCTGATGCTGATGTGGATGCTGATGCTGATGTGGATGTTGATGTTGATGTGGATGCTGTTGATGGACTGTTTGATGCAAATGAAAGTGAACGAAATGAAATTAAGCTAAATTAGTGAATGGTTATGTTAATGTTAATGTTAATGTTAAAGTTAACGTTAATGTTAATGGTCATGTTATTGATACACATTTGTATTGTGCTCAATTAGAGGATGATGATGATGAGATGGAGCTGCTGCTGCTGGCTGGGCGCTGCTTGCGTCTGCGGCGCAAACGCTTTGAGTATTTGTTGGGACGACGGGTGGTGCTGGCTGGATTGATGGGGATGCTGTTGGGGACTCGATTGCTGCCGGCCATCTGGGCAAACGCCTTTTCACGCTGGAGCTGCAAACGAAGGAGTTCGTTTAGCACATCGATCAGCTGATCGAGCTTCGTACTGCGCTCGCGCAACAGCGATAGCTCCTTGGTCGCCTTGCCGCTGGCCTTCGTTACCTTCGCTTGGCGCGTCGTACGCAATCCCAGTCGTGTGCTGCGCCTGCGCACAAATTTACCGCGCAGCGCATACGGATGGGGCGTGGTCGTGTCAGTCACTTCACTTGAGCCCGCCTCCGTTTCGGTGTCCTTGATGGCATTGGCATGCAGCGCCGCATTCAACAGCTGCGCCTGATGCAGCGCCCCAGCCGAAGGCTCCGTGGTGCTGCTGGAGCTAGTGGCACGCTTCGCTTTGTTATCCGGATCGTAGGGCTGCAGCTCTTGGTAGCTGTAGTCGCCGGAGCCATTGCTGTCGGGCTTGGACAGATCCAGCTGATCGCCCTGGGCATATTGCTGCTCGTGCGTCTTGGACAAATAGTTGGTATCGTAGCCTTTGCTGGCCAGCAGACGTTCCCAGTGCTCCGCACTCGGTGGCTTCTCTGTGGTGGTGGTGCTGGTGGTGGTGGTTGTGGTGCTGGTAGTGCTGCTGGTGCTGCTGCTCGTGCTGGTTGCCTCCACTTGCCGGCAATCCCGTAGCCGCTGCTCCGCTTTGGTCAGCTGCTCCTTGAGACTTTCGATCAGGCCGTAGAGCTTCTTGAATTCGATTCGTGCCGCCGCCAGCTCTGCGCGCATCTGGGAGCGCTCGTTGCTCGCCGCATCCATCTGCTCCCTCTCAGTCACAGTCACACTTTGGCCTGTGGGCGTGGCAACTGTCGTTGTCGGCGTGACATATTCCTCCGGCGGATTGGCGACCGTCTCACCAGCGGCCAACTGATCGCCGCTTATCTCCAGCGGCTCCTGGCTGGCACGCTCCAGCGCCTCGCGCACTGAGGCCGCATTGTAGCGCATCAGCGCCTCCGCCGGATCCTCATCCGGACTCAGTGTGATCTCCTTCAGGCCCAGCTTGTACTCCTTGCGCAGAGCATTCAGCGAACTCTCATCGATGGTCTCCAGCGTGCCATATTCGGCGTTACGCCGGCTTCTGCTGCGCTGAGCTCTGGCACAGGAGCAGCCGCCGGGATTGGCTCGGCTGGCGCAACGACAGCTGCTGCCGCAGGCGCAGTGAGCGCTGCCGCAGCCGCAGCCGCCGGCAGGCAAAGCTGGCGAGGAATTGCTTAAACTATTTGCTAACCTTTTCTCTATGCGATGATCGCCGTTCGGCAGGGATGGGGGCGTGCCCGAGCTGGTGTAGTTGTTGTTGTTGTTGTTGTTATTGTTGTTCGTGGTGGTGATAGTGGTGGTGGTCATCTGGTCATCCTGCCGCTCCTTCTGCTCGTTGGGTTTTATTGCCTGAAATGCGTCGCCTGTTAATGACAATGAGGAACAGCGGGCGTGGAAGAAGATGGAGAAATGTGAATGATATGAAGCCAACTACATGGGTGTCGGTGTGTGTGTGTGTGTGTGTGTATGTGTGTGTTAATGTATGTGGGCGTGTGCTGTGCGTATGTGTGTGAGTGTGCGTGGCTTAGCTTAAAACTAATTGAGCTCGGTCTATTTATAGTTAAGGCAACGGCACTTCGGGATTTGACTCCGGAATTCCCCTAGCTATACACATGACCTAGAGGATTTTAAGGTTTGCCTGGGCACTGGAACTTCTCTCAATGAAATTCCTGAGTTGAATTTCGAAACGTAGCTGCGAAATTTCCTAACGAGTTCGAAATATCCAATGCGAAACTCTTCCAGCCCATAGGTTAAAGCTATCAAATCTAAGGACTATGAAGCTAAGGAGCTTCTCCCAAATGGCTACTGTCCTAGCTTTTCCTTTTTGTATTGGCCGCAGTTTTCCGATAGTCCCTTCTAGCAATTGCCTTGTCTTGGGTTAGACTTACCATCATGGTGTTATGCTGGCGCAGCATGGAGTCGATCTCGTCGTTACCAACAGCCGCCCGATACCCACCATATGCATTGGAGCCGTAGCCGCCACCGCCGTAACCGCCACCGCCATAGCCGCCTCCGCCGTAGCCGCCACCGCCGTAGCTGGTGCCGTAGCTGGGTCTATGCACATGTCCGTAGCTTGGACCGTAGGCCGGCGCGTAGCTAGCTGGCGGCGTATTGTGGTAGTAGTTGATGATGGTGGGCGCCGACTTGGACTTGGATTTCTTGCGGTGATCCCCACCCAGGCCAAGTATATCCACTGTTTGTGGCGAGAGGTTAAGATCGGTACTGCGGAATACGCCAAAGAGATTACCTTTGTGTCGTGCCTGGCCAGCGTTTTCGGGCATTTGCGGTTTCGCCTCTCCCAGCATTCCATCGGCATCCATTTGCGGCTGTTGTTGTTCCATTTGCTGCTGATCCATCTGCTGCTGCTGCTGCTGTTGCTGCTGCTGCATAGCCAGCATCTTCTCAGCCGCCCACTGACGCTCGGCTGCCTGATTCATGCTCTTCTCGGAGGCTTGCTTCTCCTGTGCCTTCACCTGTTCCTCGGTCCACTGACGCTGCTGCATATCCTGCTGTGCCTTGGCTTGACCCTCGGCCCATTGACGCTGTTGCTCCTGCTGCTGCTGCTGCTGCTGCTGCTGTGCCTTGGCCTGATCCTCGGCGGATTGCCGCATCATCTGTTGCTGCGCAATCATGGGTGCCTGGAGCGCCGAGTCCTGTTCCCTCTGCGGCTTAGCCTGATCCTCCGACCACGCACGCTGCTGCATATCCTGCTGCGCCTTTGCCTGCTGTTCCATCCACTGGCGCTGCTGCTGCTCCTGGGTCTGGGCCTCTGTCCACTGTCGCATCATCATGTGTCCCTGCGGCGGCATCGTCATGGGTATTTGGAATTGCTGAGGTGCTCCCTGCGCCACCATAAACTGACGCATCATTGGCGTATTCTGTTGCTGCATGACCATAGGACCCTGCTGCTGCTGTATGTTTTGGGCTTTAGCCTGATCGTCCGCCCATTGACGCATCTGCTGCTGTGCCTCCTGCTGCTTAGCCTCCTGCGCCTTTGCTTGATCCTCGCTCCACTGACGCATCTGCTGCTGTGCCTCCTGCGCCTTTGCTTGATCCTCGCTCCATTGACGCATCTCCTGCTGCTTCGCCTGCTGCGCCTTTGCTTGATCCTCGCTCCACTGACGCATCTGCTGCTGCTGCTGCTGGGCCTGCTGAGCCTGCTGTGCCTTGGCCTGCTCCTCCGTCCACTGTCGCATCATCTCGGCACCCTTAGCCTGGCTCTCCGCCCACTGTCTCATCATTTGGGCGTTTTCTTGCTGCGGCATGCTCTGCTCCTGCATCCATTGGCGCTGCTGCTCCTTAGCCTTAGCCTTAGCCTCGTCCTCCGCCCATTGACGCATCATCATGGGACTCTGTTGCTGCATCTGCTGCAGCATCTGCTGCGACTGCTGTTGCTCCTTGGCCTTGCGTTCGGCATTCTCAGCGGCCATGCGGTAGGCATAGGCCATTACCTTGACTATGTCCTCCTTGGATAGGGTCTGCGGCTGCTCTCCAGTCATAATCTGGCGCTTGGTATAGGTTCGGCGCTGCATCTCCCTGTTGAGCAGGCGGCGCACATAGTCGTCGCGTAGGGCGCGCTCAATGTCGGCTCGGGTGATCTTGTGGACTGGCGTGCGGCTCAGGGGGTAGCGCAGCTTGTAGGAGGCGCCGTTCCTTGCCGTCTCGCCTTGGGCATGGGCGCGCATCTCGCGTGCCAGCCGCTCGATCTGCTGCAGCTGCTGCAGCTCCTCGATTACCTGGCGCTCGAAGGCCTCCAGCTTGGACTCGATTTGAGCACGATCCGTGGTCTTGGCATTGCCCTGCTCCTCCTCGGTCTCCTGCTTGCTGGGCATGCGGAACCAGAGCAACGGCACTTGCTGCTTCTCCTGCTCCATCTGCAGCGCTGACTTGATCTTCAGCTGAGCCAGCTGCGCCTGCGTCTGCTGTGGCGCCCGATAGTTGATGCTGTCGTGGCTGTCCGGCTTCACGCGCACCTCCGATATGTCCGACGCCTGGCCACTGCTGCCCGGCAAGAACTGACGTAGTCCGGCCATGAACGAGTCCGGTGTCGGGGCTCCGGGTATGCCGCTCAATGCGCTGCCCAACAGATTGTTGCTGCCATCGAAGAACGCTCCGAATCCCTGAGGCGGAGCCTGGCCAAGCGTTGGGCCAGCGGGTGCCGGCGCCGGGGCTGCCGGCTCATCCGCGGGCGTGGCTGCGGGTGGAGCTGGTGTGGTCGTGGTCGTAGCGGGTGCCTGGCCGAGCAGGCCGTCGAGTGAGGGCAGTCCAAAGTTCTGCATAACGGGCGCCATCTGGCCTAGATTGAAGGCATCGGGCATTGGCGGCATCTGGCCGAGATTGAAGTTATCCGGCAGTGGGGGCATTTGGCCCAGGCTGAAGCCATCCGGCAGCCAGCCGGCTGGGGGTCGGGGCATCATCTGGGCAAGATTCGGCGGGACAATCTGGGCAAGATTCGGCGGCGGCATCTGGCCAAGCATCTGCTGCATTTGCTGCAACATAGCAGCTCCTGGCGCGGCAGGTGGTGCAGGTGGTGCAGGAGCAGCTGGGGCTGCATCCTGACGCGTTACACGTGACTTGTGAGCATTCGCATCGTCGGCTAGGACCAGCACCACCTTGGAGGGCGATGCCTGCAGATTGTCCGGCATGGCGCCGAGCAGAGTCTGCGCCGGAAAGAGGCTGCCCCAACGCAAAAGGCTGCTCAAGGCTGGGAACATGAAATAGAATGCGTCCACTGAGGGAATGCCACTGCGAGGTAGCTGTACGGGTGGCATCTGGGCGAGAAGCTACAAGTGGGTGGAATGATGAGAGAGGAAGACAGAGAGGGGAAATGGTAGGAATAGGGATAAAAGAGCGGGACAAGGACGAAAACATAAAGAGAAGAAAGGATTAGCATATTGAGCTGGACGGGATTTAGCTAAAATAACCTTTAAATATCAGACTCATATTGTTCCTATAGAAATTATATGATAAGGTATCAAAAAATGATTTGCTGACGTCTATATTAGATCTATTAAGATTGTCTAGTCTCTCTAGTCCTCTTCTAGACTTATCGATAGGTCAAGTATGGCCCATCTTCGGGCCTGGTATTTGGCTTTACCTGATCTTGGGTGGGTATCTGCAGCCTAGCCGGCGCAGTGGTGGCATTTGTCGCATCGTCCTTGGCGTCGCTCTGGGTCAAGCTATCGACGGCAGCAGCTGCCTCGGGGCCACTGACCACGGTGGCACCCGGCTGTGCATCCTGGGCGCTGCACAATGCGCCGCCTAGCAGCAGCAGCGTTAAACACAACAAACGCATCCTGAAGACGTATATCCTATTCTCTATTTGTGTATAGCCCGCACTTTCACTTGCACTTTCACTTAGTCCAGAGCACTTTCGTTTGAGCGTCGAACGGCAACTGACGTTCCAAACGCTCCAACGCTGGCCCATATAGAATACCTGGTCGTCGTCGGCGGCGGCGGCGGCGGCGACAGCAGCAGCAGACAAAAATTGTCGACGTCGCCGAATCGTGCTAAAGAGCTGCGCTGCTTTTTGCACGCATCGCGAGGTGACAGGCCACGCCCCCCCGGCTTTGACACCAAAAAATATTTGCCATTGCATTTCAATTTCGTTTCCGTGTGCCACAAAAAGACAGCTAACAAGAATAGAGTCTTCAAATGGAAAGTGAACAACGCTAAGATACCCTGTAAACAAATGCAAATGCTCAAAATTGACAGTAGAGAAGGGTATTGGGGAGGTTACGTATATAAATATAGGTCTAGAGCAAAGAAGGAAAAGCATAATTCATGTATATTAAACTACAAGTGATATATCAATTCGAAATTCAGATATTAATGTATTAACATGCCGAAAAAACTCTATACTTATATGATTTAAATTTACGATATTCCGATATTAAATTACTTCCCATGCCATATCGATAGCTAATCGATGTCTTTTAAGAAGAAGAAAAGCCGACAAGATCTTGGCGAATTACCCAAAATTAAAGTTTATTGAGAACCCATGGAAACAGCTTAAAACTTAAACTTGTACAGGGTATTCAAAGACTGCAGCTGCGACTCTTGCAGCAGCCGGCGCAGCACAATAAATAAATATAGCCAAAAACAAAAACAAGACAGAATAAAAAAAATATATATATATGTATATATGTATATATGAAGAAAAACCTTGGCTTAACAATTTGCTGATGAGCAATTTTTCGTGGAATCAGCGCAAATTCTGATGCACTGAAAACAAATGCACAGCTCCACAAAGTTTCCAATTGGTGTCTTATCTGGTATTTTGAAATTATTTTGTCTACGATTTGCGTCAATCCGGAAGCTGTGCGAGACTTTTTTATCTCGCGTCTTATGGCCGTTGCAAAAAGTGTGACCCAACATACTAATTTTTTTTTTTATTCAACACTCACCGGTACGTGCTCATATCAAATATACCATAGAGATGACAGCATGAAGCACGCAAATTACGCTGAAAAATCTAACCCCGATACCATTCGCTAAATATTAACTAAAAGCTTGTTTTACAATTTAAAATCTGTTGATGACTAAGCTTTGTATATCGAAATTTAATATACATACATATGTATAACACGAGTTTATTGAAAGTCTACGTGCCAATGGACGTAAGGAAAATTGGAATAAGTATGTGTCAACGATGAAAATCTTATGCTAATGACTATTCAAAATGAAATGTATTTGGCAAAACATAGTTATGTATATTCCTTCTTGATGCCTTGGTCCATCTGTCATACGAGTTGGCTAGAAAATTCTCACAGCGTAGACTGCCTTATCGTGAATGTGTGTCACCGAGCTAAAAAGCGAACAAAATGCATCAATGCTGAGCTAAGCGCTGCAATGGACTTTTAACTCCATCGTCGTCTGTTGTAGTACAAAATAAGAATAAAATTTTGTGTATGAACAAGTATTATTTATTTTGTTATTGTTATTGCTTTTGTTGTGTGTTGCGGGCGTCTGCTTAGATCAGCACGAAACGGCAGCAATATTACAGTTGTATTGGAAACGAGCTCATAAAATACGGTCAGCGATCTGTAAAGTGTGTTGCGACACGAACAATTGTTGCATCGCTGCAGTTTCTTTGTTAATTAGTCATTGCAAGACAAAACAAAACCAGGCAAATCAAACTAAATGAGAAATAAGAAAAGACAAGAGCCAAAAAACTGCCAATTAGGTTTTTTCAAATGTGGTCACTCTAACGAATTTAGTCCACAAAGGGCGAACACGTGCTGGTCACACTGACTAGAACAGTTCAAAGCGGAATCAATTTCATTTACAATATAAACTATTTAACTAATTTTATTTTGCCAGAAATATATTTTTTGATATATATAAATATGGAATAGTTGTATTTTTTTATGAAGCAATATTATGGTCAGCCTCACAAGGAAATTTGGTGAAAAGAAGCCAATAAGTTATTGGTCACATTGCCACTCAATTCAAAGCAAACGATCTGTTTTGAGAAAAAAAAAAGAAGGAAAAGTATAAAATCGCAATTTGTAAACAATTTATAAACTGTTTAAGTATATATGCCGTTTTTTTTCAGCTGTTGCATGTGACTGCAATTTGGCCAACGACTTTTTAACTGATGGCACATCCATTTAAATACAATTGGACAGATAATGTGCCGCGATAAGGTGCGCATGCAACGACTAAAAGCGTCGGCAATGGCCGTTGGCCATCGTGAACAGTTAACTGAGCACACTTGGCTGGCTCATTTGCGCTTCAGCATGTTGTCGAGCGAGTCGGTGCAATCGATTCATAACATAACGCTAATATACGCTGTGGTGTGGACGATTAACAGCCACTATGCCAGCGACTCGAGCAAACCGCTCTCAATCATGAGTTTCGCCAGGCGGGAAGCGAGCCGTGATCTGCACAATGATCTCACTGATGCTGTGCTGCGCCTGGCCTCAGCTGCTGGGCGCATTAAGTTTCTGCTGCAGAACGAGGGCATTGTCACGGACGAGTCGTTGGCCGAAGACGCACCGCAGGCGCCCCCAAGTGGAGTGCTGGGCAGGGACACGGGGCTGTTTCTGCTCGATAGCTGGGCCACCTATTTACGACTGGAACGGCATCTGATGCAGCCGGGCAGCTTCTACAAGCGCAATGGCTACTATTGCATTGTGTATACGGGCGAGGAGACCGGACGCCTAAGCGTCATTTACAAAATGTTTCGACGCCTCCTGGCCATCTACGTGATCAACGTGAATGTGCTGCTGGCCAATCGGCAGAATGGCACCATCCAGGTGTACAACTACTATCCATATCGACCGCATCGCTGTCAGTCAGCGGAGCCCGTGCACTATGCCACCTTCCAAGGCAGCCTGGGTGCTCCTCCGATCATTCATTTGCCGAACAGCGTTCGTTTCTTTGACAGCAAAGTGGATGACATGCATGGCTGCAAGCTGGTCACCGTCACCTTTCAGCACCGTCCATTTGTCATCATCGACGATAACAGCGGTCTGACTGATGTACAGCGTCTGTTGGGCATCGAGGGCAGGATTTACCAATTGTTGGCCGAGCGCATGAACTTTGCTGTTACATTGGTGAAAGAACCCAATGGGGATAGAGGCGTTGTCACTCCTAATGGCACCTTAACAGGCGCTATGAAGATGGTGAGTCAAAGGTGTCGAAGGCAATCGATAATATTCGATATCGATAAATATCGAGGACGATCGATAGACGCTGAATAGGATGTGTGACAATAATTTTAATAGAAATCGATAGGCCTTACACTCTCTAAAAAGTGACTGATGGATATCATGAGGTTATACCACTAGCTGAAGCCTAAATCGATAAAGAAAGATTCCGATAACTATCGATCGTGGCAATACTTTTACTTAAAACTGACCCACACGATAGGAAATCGATTTGCCTCTCAATACCAAATGGTTTCAATTAAAATCGATAAAACCATAGACGATAACTATTAACATTCCACATTTTCAGATCGTTGATGGCTTGGCGAACATTACCTTCGTCTCGTACATGTACAACAAAGAGCGCGCCACGTATATGCTGCCGAGCATCTCGTACACCAGCTTTCCCATTGTGCTCTGTGTGCCTGGAGGCCGTCCGCTGACGCCGCTGGAGAGGCTGACCAAGCCGCTTGGGTACATCACATGGATATGCCTGTTGACCAGCATACTGACCGGCCTGACGCTGATTACAATGCTTCAGTGGTTGAGCGTGCCGCGATTGCGTCGCTTTGTGCTCGGCGAGGACAATCGACGGCCTGGCACGGAGCTGTGGAGCACACTGTTTGGTGGCATTCACATGAATCCGCCACGTCGCAACTTCGCCCGTTTCCTGCTAGCCATGTGGCTGCTCGAGACGCTGGTGTTGCGTGCCGCTTACACGGGCGAGATGTACATATTGCTACAGGATGCACGGGTGCGTGCACCGCTGCGCACGCTGGCTGAGGTGCTGGACAAGAAGTTCGAGTTCCATATGCTGCCAGCACTGAAGCCCGTGTTCCGAGAGCTGGTCAGTGAGGAGCGAGTTGTTCTCATACCCCGGCTGGATGAATCGCTCACGCAGCTACGCGACCATACCGAGGCGCGATTTGTGGTGCCATTGCTGCGACCAACCGCAGCCCGATTCGATATGGACTCCGGTCCGGAGAAGCCGCGTCTCACCCTCCTTCGTTATCCCCTGCTAACTGCCCCGATGACGCTGTACATGCGTCCGCATTCGTACCTGAAGCAACGCATCAATAAGCTGCTGATCAACATGATGTCCTCGGGCCTGGTGGACCGCTTTCGTCGCATGTATCTGGACAGGATCGAGCAGATGGCTAATCTGCGCAACCGTGAGCCCACCAAACTCAGCCTCTGGCAGCTGAGCGGCCTCTTTGGCAGCTTAGGGTTGATGCATCTGCTGGCCGGTATCGTCTTTCTGCTCGAACTGCGCGCCGCCCAGCCTCAGCGACCGCGTTTGCGTCGACTCATGAATGCGGCCAATCGTTATATGGTCTAAAGCTACAGCAATCGATAAAGATCTTAACTCATCTAGATATTAATGTAATTTCTTAACGGCAATGAACTTGTATACATTTTAACTTAACAGTTTTGTGTCTTAATTAAAATTTAACTCATGTATACAAATTGTAACTTATCTAGTTTGTAACTTGACTGCAGAAGACTTGTCTAACTTTATTTTAATTTGTGTACATTGTAAGTTACCTGAAATAATTTATGTACTCAGTAGCTTAACTGAAATGAGCCTCATATATTGTATAACTATATTGTAATTTATATACTTTGTAACTTATCTTATTATAAGTAGTACATTATCTCTATTGTAGCTGTAACTTACTCATATGTCGGGGTAACTCTCCTTAAGCATATTTATATTATAACTCATCTACTTATCTACAATGTACCGTAGCTATATCTTAGCTTAACTATATCTTAGTTATATCTAAGCTACTCTCCTTAAGTATATCTATATTGTATCTCATCTACTTATCTAAAATGTACCATAGCTATATCTTAGCTTAACTATATCTTAGTTATATCTAAGTTACTCTCCTTAAGCATATCTATATTGTATCTCATCTACTTATCTACAATGTACCGTATCTACATCTTAGCTCAACTACATGGCCTACAGCTGCAGATTATCTAAATTGTAAGTTATTTATGGTTGTGACTTATCTAGATAGTGCATTAACTTTCAGCTAATCTATATTGTCACACAGTTCAATCTTGTCTGTACTGTATATAGGGTCAGCTACTATAATAGAATAAGTATAATCCATCTGAAAACCATATTGATGTTGAGCTAAAAATAGTTTCTCAATTAGTTGCAGATACTTTGCGGTTTATTTGTATTTACATGCATATATATGTATATATATCTGATCAATCAGTCGTCTATAACCGTAATTTATCTGTTTAGAATTGATCTAAAATATATGCAGGCTGTATTCGGTCGCATCGAAACCCTATATCTACTGTAAGCATTCCATTATCCTCTATCAAAAAAGTTTCCTAGATAGATGAGAGATAACACAGTTAAGTATTTACTGATTTGCATTAACTTAAAGCATTACAAACTAATCTATTCTTATACATTCTCATAGATCACATTCCCTATGGCATTTGCTCCCATGATTCTACCAAGTCGAATGCCCTTACAGCCGCTCCAAAATCCTAGATAGCCAGCGCATGCGTTCGTGTCCACTGAATAGCTCGAGCAGGAAGATGACCAGCGCCAGGGAGTGGGCAAACAGGAGGCAATTGAGGGCGGCATAGATGAAACGCATGCACTCATTGAACTGAGCCACATAGTCGGCGCAGTGCTTCAGGGGATTCAGTCGAGCGCTCATGGAGGTGGCCAGATGCGACGACTTGAGCCGATTGACGATGTGCGGTCCAATGCCGGAGCTGCGCATGAGGAACAGCATGTGATTGAAATTGGAGGTCAAGTAGGAGCCCATCGGGAAGTGCACGCAGATCATGTTGTCCACGATCTTGTTGCTGGCCAGAACGAGTCGGTGGTGCTTCGTCCGCTGCCCGCCCAGATAGTCGGCCACAAAGCTGGCCGTGCTGATGGTGGCGACTCGCTGCCATTCCGGCTGGGCCTGCAGCTGCTCGAGCATGTCCACCGGTTGGCCGGGCAGGATGCGAGTGCGTGCCCTTAGCGCGGGCAGCGAAGCTGTCATGCGGTACGTGGCATGATCCGTTATGAATTGGTAATCCTGCACGAGCGCCTGCTCCAGGCTGTCAGGCAGAGGGCGAGTCGGTGCATTGTAGAGGAACATAAAGACGGAGCTCTCGTAGCACATGCGCAGCATGAAGACCGCCAGAATCCAGGCCAGATCGAGGAGTGCAACGCGACGCCAGCCGCTCTCCCAGCACAGCAGACGCAGTGCAGCCAGCGCAAGCACCAGCAGCCAGACGCGCGAGTCGAACGGAAACAGCATGATCTCGTAGACGCTGTACGGACGAGCCGTGCGCAGCACCAGCACATACTCCACCTGGCTGTAGGGCAGCGTGCTGGACAGATGCTTGTAGCGAGCCGGCATGCAGGCGGCAAATCCGAGCGTAAGATTCGCCCGTCTCTGCTGGAGCATGTGGAAGGCGCCGGTCATGGTGCCGTTCATGTAGCTGACGCCGCCAATCAAATCCGCCGGCTCATTGGCCACCAGGGCCAGGCTGAAGTTCAGCCTGCTCGCCAGCACCTTCAGTATGTCGGCATCGATGCCAGAGATTCGATCGCTGGGCCGCGTTCGCTCCATATGCAGCCGCATGTACGGCCGTATCTGCCAGACGACCACGTGCAGGGGACAGCCGTGCAGATTGTGCAGCTTCTGTGGATAGATCTGGTAGAGGCGCGCCTGCTGCAGCGGCACAGGCAGCGCCTGCGTATCCTCACAGCCGCGAGCACCAGAGTACGGATAGTAGGTGTAGCTGCTGACTCTGCCCGCCCGCAGCTCGGCCAGCAGCAGCAGCACGTGCACGTTGTAGCGCTGGTGCAGCAAATACCCAAAGATCTGGCTCATCTGCGCCCGCTGCCAGGCGGCGTCAGCTCGCCCAGCCATCAGCACGATGAGGTATTTGTATTTGTGAGCCATGTTCATGCGCGGATTGCGATTGCTGGCCGCGATGAACTGTCTGGCATCCGGCACAAAGAACAGCAGCATTTGTGTGCGCAGGCCCACTGACTCCTCTAGCCGCTCGCCCAGCACGCGGGGCACCATGGCGCCCAGGCAGTGCGTCAGCACGCGCTCCACCAGGCGTCGCTCCCCCCGTGGCAGTTGACTCTTGTAGCTGGTGCTGATGAAGACGCTCATGTCGTGGGCCTCACAGGTCTGTGCAAATATCATTTGCATTGATTTACTCAAATTTGTCGCCAGTTCTTCATCCGCCGTATTCTGTCCGGGTGGACAGCCACAGCTAAGCCCAAGCAGCAGCAGCAAATGCACAGCGTTCAGCTCCATTTCCAAGGAGTAACTGAATTGGGATCAGTTTTGAATAATCCATATATGTATATTGATTATATATTGCCCATCGACTGTGATTGCAGTCCCAACACCCCAGAGAATGTGCAAGGTCCGTGCTGTACGTCCGTCTGTCCGCATGCAAAGCATTTCGAAGCTAAAAATTTGAAATTGGAATTATATATTCTTCTATACCCTCGAATTATAAAGTGTCAAGATTTTTCCGATACGCCCGCTAGGGGCGTGGCGAGTCGAAAATGTATTTTACGGCGTATCTGCTTAGTTGAGAATTTAGATAATATATACTCCAGCCTGAGATCAGAAAGAAGAGGCGTAACAATTATTCCGTCAGTTCTTTCGGATCTCAGGCTGGAGTATATATTATTAAGATTTCTAGAAAATCATATATCTACGCCCACTGGGGGTGTGGCAAATGGACAACAATTTGTAACGCTCAACTGCAAACTGCATAGAAAAAAGGAACAAAGTATCACGCAGTCGGTTACGCCCGACTGCAACGTTCTTACGCGTTTCTCTGTATATTTCTCAATTCGATTAATATAATAATACACTACAGTTTATTCCAGTGCACTGCAGTGCTACAAATACCTGTTCTCCCTCGACAACAGTTGACACAAATCTCATTTAAATCGTGCAGTGCATTAGCAAATCAGTGCAAATTACATAAACCACATTCCAATGGCTACGCAGCTCGAACTATGTGTAAATCCCATTCCCAGAGCTGGCTGGGCATTATATATATATGTTTATATATTTGGTATCGAGGCAGGCGGCTAAAATTTGACTTGCTGACAACGCTGCGAGCATTTTGTCATACCGAATCAGTCTGTAATCTGGAAAGGTTTTCTTTCCTTTTTATTTATATTTATTTATTTTTTTTTATTTTATATCCACGGGGTATTTCAATAACCTATCTCGAAATCAATCGTAGATTTGCTTTAGGTCGACTAAGAGTTTTGGTTATTCCATATTACCCTCAAATTAAGCGAAGGAGCTGGTTAAGAGCAAGAAATCTGCCGGATCTAAGGATATTGACTGCTTGATTGCTGGATCTTTGCCATCTTATAGAAGCTATCAATTGCAATCGTTCATTGAGTCAGCGAATCGACGCAGTAAGTACTTTTCATTCCTCATTTAGTGTATATTTTTTGTTGTACCCTGAACACATAGCAAATGGTAAGTCAGGGTTAGACTTGATAAGGGCGACGACCTGAGTCGTTTTAGCTCTGTTCCGCTGTCTGTCTGTGATTCCATATGCGTTAATCCATCGATCTCTGAACCTAGAAGAGCGAGGGACTTGAAATTTTTGTTGTCCCTGTCCCTGTATAGCACTCACAGATCTAGGTCAATGAAATGTTTTTGCGAATTAAGTTTTCCAAAGAAATCAAATTTGAGATTTCCTCATACTAAACGTTCTCCTATATTTTATTTATTTTTTTTACAGGGGACTTTAATATTCCTACCAGAAGTCCACAACTAAGAGTTTTGGGCTCGCGATATTTTCCAATAAACCTAGCGTCTGGTTCCATTCCTAACCTAAGAGCTACTTCAAAGTAGGAAAGGCCAAGGACTCAAGCTGTATGCATTGATTGTTTGCTCTCTGAATATTTTTGAAACTTTTCAACACTAAGGTCAATTGGTCAAGGATCGATATACATCGTAAGTACTCATTTCATTTCATATTCAGCAGGCTAAGTAACTTGAGTCCGTACCGACCTACATATATTTTAATGTAAATTTTGACATATTCTGTGAAAATATCATATCTATATTTGTTTTCCTAACAACTCTCTTCCAAAACGTGCAAAACGTCGCTTTTTAATTTTGAATATATTTGGAAATACATTTTTCTGAATTCGAATCCAACCTCAAAAATAACGAATGGTAAGATTTTGAATATGAAAATCAAGAAGTGCCGCGAAACGCGATTAGTTTGTGTTGAGTTCGCTTTCTGGCCTAAGCCGGAGCTAGAGGCAAAAGAGTAAAAGCAGTGCAAGTTGTTGGTAACATACATTGAATTTGATTTTCATCTCAGTAACATTTCCAAAACGAAATCGAATCGAAGTACACCATTCGAATTCACTCAATCAAGTTTACTTGTCGTTAGTTCTCATTCCCTTCCACATTCAGTAGGTTGAGAGGCTTCAGTCCGTAAGGGCATATATTTTTTTATAAATTTTTACTCTAAAACTTTTTTGAATTATTTTGAATTTCTGAAAAAAGTCTCTTCCAAAACGGGCATACAATTTTCCACTAATTTTATTATTTTGATTTCCAATCTTGGTTTGAAATTCGAATATTCGGCAATATATTTTTCTGAATCGGAGCCTATCCTCAACTAATGGTAAATATTGAAATTAACATACGTGATTCATTAAAGACAAAAGTGAATTGTGAATTGAAGCAAGAGAATTTGCGATGTCCGTCCGTATTAATATAAGCCCTTTATAATCTCGTTTATAGCCTCTTCGTACAAAGTGTTAAGACTTTTATTAAAATTCCCTAGAGGCGTGGTGAATCGTACCCTCTATTGATTTACCTAATAATACTTAATCGCCCCAAGGCAGGCAACTGGGGCTTTAGGATCCGCAATATATTCCAGTAAACCTATTAATCGATGTCATTAAGCAAACGAACAGATAGAGTAAAGACACTGCAGAATTAGGGTTACATTGATTGCTTGTTGGCTGGATTTTCGTCATCTCAGTAACATTTTTTATCAACCTTTTCTATCGAATCGAAGTTCACTTATTGTTAGTTCTCATTCCCTTCCATATTCAGTAGGTTGACAGGCTCTAGTGCGTAGGAACATATATATATTTTTTTTATAAATTTTTACTCGGAAACTATTTTTATTTTGAATTTCTGAGAAGTCTCTTCCAAAACGTGAACACAATTTACCATTCAGTTTCTTTCCGAATTGGATCTCAAGCTCTTACTAATGGTAAATAGGTCAAGAAATCAAGTAGTGCTTCATTGTTAATTAAAACTGATCGATTGGCATTCAATATTAACCAAATTGTTATATTTTTCAGATTTTTTGTTTATTTTCTAATTGAGCATCTGGACTGAAGGACTAATCCGTTTACTTGAAATCGAGGTAATTAACCTAACCTAAAAAGTTTATTCTCACTGTAATTTAAATTGATTTCTTTATTTGATAACCAAGTACAATGGAAGAATTTACTGAGGGACCAGACAAATATGTTAAGAATGTGCTGCTTTTGAAGAAGGACACGTGCTCGGTGCGCGAGCTTATCATCTGGATCAACAAGCAATTGCTATGCGAGATTAAGGAGCTATCCGAATTGACAGCGGGCGACATTTATTGCCAAATTGTGCACAAAGTAGCTCCGAGGGTAATGCCAATGGAGAGAGTATTCTTGAATACCAATGTCACTCACGAGATTGAATCGAACTACAACATACTTCGTAATGCACTTGATAAACTGCATATTCATAAGAATATTCATCATCACGACCTGGCCAAGGGCATCGGCCACTATGAGTTTATGACCTGGCTATACAAGTTCTGTACGGTGAACTGCAGGAGTGATTCGTACGATGCGGTTGCTGAGCGCAAAGGCCAACCGATTGGATTGAAGAAAATTATAAGTGCGACGAAGCCCACAGTCGATCCCACAGCCCATCTGCGACGTAGCACCTCGATTGTGTCTTCAAATGGCGACAAGGAGGATGTGGCTTATCGTTCAAACAGCCTATTTGCCATAGACGACAAGAACGGCGAGGGAACTGATGGCTATGTTGATCTAGATCAGCCCAAAATTTCGTCCAATAGAAGATCTACACAGAAGAGAAGTGCCTCCAAAGCAGGCTTTATCAAACCAACCGTGGCAAGCGTGAGCAAACTAGCAGTACCAGGTGAGGCCAAGCCGCCAGGAGGGCCAAAATTGGAGAGGTCCCTTTCCGGGATTCATTCGAAGGCTGGCAAAGCCACTCAACAGAGCAAGGAATCGGCTCAAGGAAAACCGGATCAAGCTCCTCAAGCAAAGCCGATGCCACCAACTCGCTCGAATACATTTTTGACCGGTGTGTCCAAGCCAGCTTCAGCAGGCGGAAAACGATTGGAGAGATCCCTTACCGTTATTCATCCGAAGCCGTGGCAACAGGCTGGCAAAGCCACTCAACAGAAGGAATTGTCTCAATTGAAAATGGACCGAGGTCAACCCCAGTCAAAGCAAAAGAAATGTGAACCAACTCTAAAGAGATCGGAAACATTTGAAAAGAAATCGGGAACCGTAGCAAAGAAAATCATATCTGATCAAAACAATTCGCAACCCAATGAACCAAAGTCGAAGCTAGCTGAGTCAGAGCTAGCTGAGCCGAAGTCAGCTGAGCCGGAATCGAAATTGCCTAAAACTGGACAGGAAACAGCTGAAGAGAACCCGGAACCACACGTTCAAGTCAAGCCGGAACCAATTGATGTAAAAAGAAAAACAAGCCACGTCCAACTGCCGAAATTTGAATTGAAATGGGATCCAACTCTTTCGAAAATGGAACCAGTTAAGGGAAGTCCCGTTCCACTTGGCATGACCCCAGCAAAACGTATTCATTTTAAACGCATACAGCGTAAGGAGAATGCATCGCCCTCAGCTAGCACAAGGAACCCAGCCCAACGCCGCCTAAATGATAAACGCAACGCAGTCGCGGCTGAGGACTTGGTTTCTGATAAGGTGCTAGCAGCTTGTGAACCCATTCGGCTACTAGGCAATGCAGCTTCTTTAAAATCTATGGAGCATTTAAATTTTTCGTCTATATTAGAGGCAGCTCGACAACCAGATGAGCCATCAACATCTCAAGCAGCGACCCAGGAGAGTGATTCCGACTCATCACTTCCACAGAGTGCAAATTATACTTCTGAGCTTGTAGCAAATGAGCCAATCGCTCCGAATACAGAGTCCTCTGGTGTACCAGATGGTCCACAAGCTACCGCTTCTCAGCCGTGCCAGTCATTAACTAATTTAGAGGCAACAGGTTTGAATCAAGCTCAGAATAACAAAGCTGGACCCCTCAAGGTGAGGTTTGGTTCAGTTGAGATACTTGCATACAGTCAAGATGCATCGGTATTTGCTAATTATACTCCGAAGGTGGCTATTGCCAAGCATGTTATACAATCATTGTCCGATCAGGGAGCAGCTCGCCTTTTGGCCTCAAGAAATCCAAAAGTGACCAAGAAACCAGCAGAAGCTAAGCCTCAGCCGTCTAACAAAACTTCTTCGGTGACTGCAAAACTTTTTTCACAGCATAATTTACCGAAATCGGGATCCTTGCTGTCCTTGCCGGCTAATCAAGCTGCAAGAGGTAGGCTGTTTGAAATCCCAGAGTTAGGCCGACCATTGGCAAGCTCTTCACCGATTCTCAGTGCTTTGGATGAATGCCGTTTTGCCGAATTGCCACCGGATTCGGACTCTGACGATGATGTTGATGATCGTGTGTGGAATACACGCCGCCAGATCGCTCTATTGAAGGACAAACTAACTACTGTTGAATGCATTCTAATGAAATATTGTGGTGAATCGAGCACTGTGTTAAAAAAGCTAAAGCGCTATTTCCGCAAACAGGAAGTAGATGAACCGTTCATCATGGGAACTTTTTAAGAACAAAACTTTTCGTTCGTAAATATTTTACTTTTAACTGTTCAATTTAAATTAAATGTTATCTTCAAAAGCACCAAGTGTGCCCAGATGTCTCATCTATATATCGTTTTTTTTTTTTAATTTATACCACCTTTAAATACCAAAAAATTGTACTTGTGCAACACTGGATCGTTTACTCACTCTTTGCTGCTCAGTGTGACCAGCTTGCACCGTTTTGTACATACTTAACGCTAGCTGCTTAATATACACTAGATACCAAATACATACAAAGCTTTTATTCAGCTAGAAGCCAACGCTGAAATCGAGGAAAGCGTAATGAGATCAGCTCCAGGCAAAAAAGAAGTGTACTAAACATTAATCCAATTAGCATTAGCACAAATATAATGTAGAGCTCATGGAGTCCGAATATTCTATGGGTGGTGGAATGCACGTCTCGCAAATAGATTTCGTCCAGTTCCCAGCGTTCCCAGACTGCCAGCAGTCCCCCGGAGCGCATCCACATAATCTCCTCGTTGAAGGCGTCGATTAGAAAGGAGTGCTTCCTTAGGTACATTGTCATCTGCATGTATATCACATCCTGACTCATGATCTCGAACTGATTTATCTCCTGTTGTTGCGTTTGGGTTTTGGCACTCAACTGATTGAACAAGAGAAAGGTCTCGAGCGTAGCGGCTCCCACCTGCCTCTGGCCCCGTGGGTTTTGCACTAAGTAATGCAGAGGATACATCAGGGATCCGTCGCCATCGACCACATGGAATAGCATCTGCTGCATAACGGGTATTTCAGAGAGCACATCACTGATTCCACTTGACAGCACAACCTCGTAGTTGTGCGCCACGACCTCTTCGAGGGACTGGGGCAGCCGGTTCAGCATGCGTGTGCGTATCAAATGGTAAAGCATGCCCTGGTACATGGTGCGTATGAGCAACGTGTAGAGAATCAACATGATGCAGTGCACTCGTTTCGCGATCGAGCGCGGAAAAACTGCCATAGGCATGCCCACGAAAACCAGAAGCACATTGAGCACAAGGCAGCCCTGATGCCTAAGCGCCAATAGTCGATTCATTGTCAGGTGTATCAGGAGCGAAAGGGCGAAAACAACGCCAATCCCCAGCCAAAGCGATGTGCGAAATGGAAAGAATATTATGTCCAACGAGGTCAGCTCGTAGCTGGTGCCCAGGACGCCAAAGCGGACGCTTGTCTGCAGATAATTGTGGGTCGATGTGCCCAATGTGCTGCGCTCCACCGTCTGGCGGATGCCACCGACGCTTAAATCCGCTTGGTTACTGTGTAGCTATAAGAACAAAGATAATGAGAAGAAAAGACGGCTATAGCTAGCAACATGAAAATTTACCATCTGGAGCAATCGGTTGATCTGGAATCCCGTTCCAGTTGCGCTGGTCCACTGTTGCACTTGGATGCTTAAGTTGAACCTTTCAATAAACGTCAGCAAGAGACGACCTTCAATGCCGCCAGTAATCCGCGCATCCGGTCCAGATCCGTCTAGCTAGATGTACGGCGGTAAGTGCAATAGACCTGCACGCAATGGACATCCGAAGAAATTGTTCAGCTTGCGGGGAAAGAGCTGAGGATTTAGCATGTGACTGCCGTTGTACCGATTGATCAGCTGGGGCGTCGTATCTGCACAGCTCTCGGGCCCGAATGGCAGGTACGTGTAAAGCAGAATATCTCCATTGGCGCGCTGCACCTGAACGTTGCAATTGATGAGCTGGTGGCGCCAGCAATGCTCGAAGATGCGATGCATCTCGCTCAGCAGCAGCCGATCGCGCGCTTGCAGAAAGATGTAATAGTACTCGTTGTAGTTGTACTCCTTGGAGTAGGCCTCCACTTCGATCTCGGCAAAGGCCGCATAGGAGTCCGTGAAGATGAGATTGTAGTGCCGGCGACCCGGGATGAATTTTCGCAGCATGCCCTGCTCCACAGTGACTATCTGGAGCGGGGCTATGCCCCAGCCGCGAAACAGTATGCTCATCATTTCGTTGTAGAAGTTGCACGTATGATTGTTGCGGCAGCAGAGGGTCAGCACCAGCGACGGCGTCACGCTCATAATGTGGATGTGCACCACGTGCAGCAGAGCTTGCGCCACATACTCATTGATTTGGTTCATCTGCTGGCCGGACAAGTCCTGATACGACTGAAACAACTGTGAAATGTTCATTTTCGGGCCGATGCTGAAGTTTAACTGGTTCTAGCAATGGCGTTGAACACGCAGCTGAGGCAAAAAAGCTTTGGCCAAAGTTTTGTTTGTCTTTTCTCATTAATTGAGCTTTAAGTGGTTTATGATTAATGAATATTGCATTGAAAAAGTTGCTGCTCATATTGTTTATACTTGGCTTTTGTTTAGTTTTCTCTTCATTTTGCCTTTTTGTTTGCCTTCATTTGATACATTGCATTCAATTTAGTTCACTTAACAGTTATTCTGCTCTATCGTAAATTGCATTTGCAGTCCAAGCGCAGTCAGCTCAAGGCTCAAACGGTTTTAGTGCTGCCAAAACTTAAAAAAAATTATTCTAGTGCTAATATTGAAGAAAATACTGACAGCCCAAAGAGAGGCGGGATTTATTCAATTTATTTGTGGTGTACACATTTCATAATGAATATGGAGGTATGTGGTTAACGGTAGATTATCAATGCCTAGGCTTCTTGTAGCCTAATTTAAGAAATTTCAGTACATTTAGTACACTTGCATTCATTTGAGCCTCCTGCTTGACGTTTAGTTCAGCATGAGTGCTGCCAGATCGTGAAATTTAAGTACTTTCAATTGCATACATTTTTCATTTATAAAAGTTTGTGCCTTAAAGCAAACGTCGCTCCGTCTTTCGCTTGGTCAGCCGATGGCAAAGGAGTTCAGCGCAAAAAACCAGCATGGAGACAGCGTAGAGAGTACCCATCAGGCTGTATATACCGATTAGCTGGCGCAGCTGCTCGTTTTGTCGCTGCTCTTGCTGATCGTCCTGCAGCTGGAACAGACTGCGCTGCTGCAGCGTTCGGCGACTGTATTCGGCGAAGGCGTCGCGGCGCCAAAAGTCAATGCAGCCACTGGCATCGAGGTTGCGCAACATGTCATTGAACAGTTCCTTGAAATACGTGTGCTTGGGCATATAGATGACCACCTGCTGCAGATTGATAAACTGGGAGAGAATGTGGTAGCTTCTCTGGCGATTCGTTGCCGTCAAATGGGCAACGGAAGGGTCCAGGCCGGTGATGGCAAAATACCGACCATCGCCCATTTGATGCAGTGCATCCAGCACTGCTTCATCGTAGGGCGACGGGATGCTAATGTAGCTGTCATAATTGTGCGCCACCTGTGGCATCTCGCGCAGCATGCTTAAAATGTTCGAGCTACACATGCCACGGAAATTGCTAGCCAAGAGCTGCTCAAACGAATACGGCAGCGTCTCGAACAGCTGCAGGCGTATGAAATGGAATAGCAGCGATTGGTAGACCACACGCAACGGAATGCTGCCATAGAGCCAGTGCGCATAGATGACACGCTGCAGCCAGGAGCGTGGCAGACGCACCAACGTAACGCCCAGCAGCAGCTCCAGCACCTGCAGCCCAATGGGACGCCAGCGCCACATATAGATCAGGCCATGCAGGATCAGAGCCACCAGCAGCAACAGCCAAACGCAGCTCTGGAATGGAAAATACAGCAAGGTGAGCTGGCCAAACTGAAAGTGCTTGATGGCCACGGTGGCCACCAGTGGGGCATAGTAGTGAGCCACGGGCGAGGTAAGCTTGTCATTGCGGCCAGCCGTCTTCCGAAAGTTACCCACGCTCATGTTGGCATGTCGCTTCATCAACTGAGACAGAGATAGGAAGAGAGAGAGAGAAAGAGGAGAGAGTTAATGAAGTCCAGCAGTAGCTAATCCTCTAACGCACCAGCTCTAGTGGACTCATCGGTTGACTTTCATCGCCCCAGTTCTTCTGGTAGGTGGCCACCGTCTCGAGCGTCACATTGTGCCAGATCAAAGTGCAATTGAGATGCCGGGCCAGTTGCTTAATCAGCGTAACCTCGAAGCCAATGGCGTCCATCTGCCCCGCCCGTTCGTCCCACTTGAGTTCGACAAAGGGCGGCGCGTTCCAGACGACCACAGTGAGCGGGCACTGATGCAGCTGGCGCAGCTTGTGCGGAAACATGGGCGCATGGATCATGCGCTGGCCATCGAAACGATTCACCAGCTGCGGCTGTGCAGATTGACAACGTTGCGACGTGTACGGATAATAGCTATAGATGAGCACCTCCATCTGGGCCGTCTGCACCATCACATTGCAGTGCAGCCAAAAGTTGTTCAGGCAATGGTTCAGGATTTGCTGCAGCTCCGCCGGAATCAGTGCATCGCGCGCCTGCAGAAAGATGAAATAGTACTCGTGATCATCACTGTCCGCGTTATCCTCGGTGATTTGCGTGGAGCTGGAAGGGATTAAGATACACGTAAATATATAGATCCGGTGGGCACTGCATCTACTGTCCCTCACAGCAACGCCTTATAGGAGTCCACCAGCAGTAGATTGCAATACTTGCGCCCCGGCACATGAGGCAAGTGATTCACATGGAGCATCTGCACGGAGACTGAGTTCCAAGTGCTGGCCAAATTGCCCACCACATTCCCGAACCACTTGTCCATCTGTGCATCGCTGGTGGCCAGTGTTATTATAAGCGTCGCACTCAGCTGTGCGAACACATCCTGGATGACGTGCTTCAGTGCACGGACCACATATTGATTGGCGTCCTCCGCTTGGACGCCAATCAGTTTGCTTTCCAGGTAGCTGGCGTAGATCTTGCTCACGTTCATATTCGATCCAACTTGTTTTGGCGACTGCTTCAAACGAACTACCCCAAAAGTCAGATAAAACGTCCATCACCTGCCAGATAATATCAAAAAGTCAACGTCTATGCGAGCCTAATTAAACACAAACATTTACCGTTACTAATTCTTACTACGCCCATTAAAATGTATGGGCAATGTACATGGCATCTGGGCCATTGTTTCTTTGCCGATGCTAATTAAAATTAATCAGCACGCATACTTATGTTTATATTTTCCTTATTATATATGCTATCTGAGTAAACATCATTTCTAATGCACATAGGTAAATGTTGTTGAAATTTGAAAGCTGCAGACAAGTGCTGTCAAATGCAGAAATTTGGGGTGGCCACATTTATTTTAAGCCACACAACCAGTCAGTTCTCTAACACAAATTCCACGAAATTTGGGTGACATAAATCTTTTTTTCATAGTAATTGACACTTTTTAATATAATTTTGTTATTTTTATTAAAATATTTGCTGATTTGATTTTATTAATTTGCATTTCGAAAAATGCTGCGCTTCCATGTGCATTAAAATAGTATTGTTAAGCCATCTGGCAGCACTCGGTACGCAAATAGCCATGCCAGACAGTCGAATAGCCACCCGCTCCACCGCCTGCAGACATAAAGAAAAACAGAGGTGAATAATTGGACATTTATTTATCTTATCGCTGCATCTTGAAAATCTCGGACCAGGACTATAGCTCGAGTCCACATAAGAGAAAACACGCCGTTAGCACCTCTTTTACAACAAACACACATTGCAATACAACAATAATAACAATGCTAAAAATCGCAGCGGAGGGAATTGCGCCACGCCTGGCGGCCTGTTGTCTTATCAACAGCAGTGCCCAGAGTAGCTGTCAACGGATAGCGCCACAGGCGGCCAAAGCCACACAGAAATACCTCTCACAATCACAGATGCACTACAAAAAGCTGGTGATAAAGGATCACTACGAGTTTGATCAAAAGGTGAGCCACAGCAACCAACTGCCTCTATTTACATTTGTATACACTTGCACACACACACACACACACACTCACACATATGCATACATAAGCATATGGATGCAAGTGTTGCTGTAGCATTATGCAATGCTTTATTTGACTGGTTGTTGCCTATTTGGCGTACGTGAGCAGTCCCGGCCGTAACCCATGACGCATTTCGGCTATTTGTGCGCGCCGTATACAATATGATACCCTGTAAACAAATTGCTGGCAACAGTGTCGACTCGTTGGACATCGCAAATGTACCAAAAATTGTACCTTTTCACAAATTCATAAGTAGTTGCCACATCGCCGACAAATATCCCAAAATGGTATTTTATTTATTAGGCGAAAATAAAGTACCGTCTGGAATATTTGTATTGTAAAATTACTTAAATTTGGTATATTATGTATAGTCATGTAATACAGGGTATTTGCTAGTCTACTCTTGCCCCGCACTTAGCTTGGCTTGTACGTATGCGCGTGTATGCAAATAAGGTAGAACCACTCGAATTGACTAGCCAAAATACATAAATACATAAAATGTGAAAGGTTTGTTTCTGTTGTTAGTTTTTTCTTTTTGAAATCTAAACTTTGTTTTCTTTTTATCTGTTCGCAGGTCATCAACAGCGACAATCCGGTGATAGTGAATTTCCATGCGGAATGGTGCGATCCATGCAAAATACTGACACCCAAGATGTTGGAGCTGTTGGAGAACTCGAATGAAATCGATTTAGCCATTATCGATGTAGAGGCCAATTTGGATTTGGTGGAAACGTTCGAGGTGAAGGCCGTGCCAGCGGTTCTGGCCTTTCGCAACGGCGTCGTTGTAGACAAGTTCATTGGCCTGGTGGACGCCAACAGCATAGAGACGCTTATCGACAAACTAAAGCGCAAGCAGCAGCAGAAGAATCAGTAGAGCTCCAATTGGAGCAGCAGCAGCAGCAGCAGCATCTTTTTTGTTTTAAGATAATATATTGTATTTGCGGCCTTATGAATTTAATTGGTGCACGGTACGGCACGTCGCGGCATGGCGGGGTTTACGGCAGGGCACACACACCATACTCCATACACCACACTATAGTAATTATGATAATGATGCGATTGATTGATGAATTGATAATGAGAACATGTCTAACGAAAACTTAGCCATTAAGCAATGCTCAATAAATCTTGTACAGTCAAAAGTAGCCAAAGCTTCTGTTAGTTATGGCCATGAAACTCTCAGTTTATATATATATATATACATATGTATGCACTCGATGGATATAGAATCATTGAAAGACTTGTAAATATGCTACAATTTTTAAAGAACTGCTTTACGACGAGATTTCTATAAGTTTCTAAACTCAGGATAGTTCGTTTCAAATAACCCGTCTATGGGGTTTGTTCTGTATATATCTATTCTGTATATATCTAAAAGATAGAACTCAGGCTTGAAAAACTTATTTTGCTATTTCCAATGTGCCTATATATTTATATATATATATATATTATATAGATTTTAGATATATATATATATATATTTTAGCATCTCGAATATGCGATGAAAGTATCTGTCAGATACTATATGCACCATATAGTTAATGGGTACTATAAGGAATACTACCAATATTATTTATACAAATAAAAAAGAGATGCAAAATAATCGAATCCGATTTGCAGGCAGCTCATGCTCTAATGTACATATAGATAGATGTATTCGTATGGAAATATTGTATATTGTATATATATTTTGTTGCACTTTTCATCTCTTATCTTATTACAGTTAGAGTAACAAATTTGCTGTTTGCATTTGTGTAACTTTAGCTGTGCCTTGGGCCACATCTAGCAGAAGTACGGGGAGTGGGAAAACACCTTGAATACAATTTGTGTGTGTGTGTGTCGTTGTTGACTTTTGATACAGTAGTTATTACAATGTATGTATATATTAATATAGATCAAATGTAAAATTGACAAAAAGAAATACAAAATATATTAAAAAAAAATAAAAACGAACAAACTTAAGCATTATCAACATGAAAAATTTTGGTTTTGCTTTGCTTAACAATTTGCTAGGTTTTGGGGAGTTGCGGGGTAGGCAGGTAAAGGGGGGATTAGAGGGATATATATTTATATATATAATAATAATAATAATAATATATTAACATGGCAAAGCTACAAATCTCGCTTTCGCTCGCTCTCTCTCTCTCTCTTTCTCTCTCTCTCTCTCTCTTTCTCTCTCTCTCTCTCTTTCTCTGTCTCTCTGACTCTCGCACTCTTCCCTTGCATTTGCCATATCTCATAATTGTGTAGGCGTTTGTGTATTTTAAACAAATTTTCTTTCCTTTTTTTTTTTTTGGGTAGGCGTGGCCGTTAGCGCGCCAGCTGTATGATGAGTGCGGCGCACATCTCGAAGAACTCCATCGTATGATGTCCAGTGGGCTGCACTGGCATCGTGCCACCAACACTCAATGGCGGCGGCGTTAGGCTCTCCATGATCACATCGTCGCCCTGTTCGACCTCGTCGTTGGTCAGTGATTTGAAATCGAGCAGATAGCTCTTGGGATCCACCTGGTAGAGCTGCAGCGACATCTTTGAATATTTGCCAGTCTTCACGTTCTGGCGCCGGACACGCACATGATACGGATTGATGATCTTCCACTCGTAGTTGAGGGCCTTCATGGCGCGATACACCTCGAGCATGATGTCGTTCGGCTTGCTCTGCGATCGTATGCCCAGATGCCATTTGGCACGCTTGATCGGTGTACCGCCGCGTGCTGTCTTCTCCGGGAAGGCGGCTCCGCCCGTATTCTGCACGGACATGGCCAGCTGGCGTTCACGCATTGGGGCAATGCGTTCGGGATGTGGTCGTATGGTGGGCGTAGCACTGCTTCCCAGGCCGCTGGGCGTGGCTGTGCCAGAGCTGGCCGCTGTGCCGCCACCGATGGTGACAGTGGCGCCGCCTCCCTGTGCGCCCGACTCCTGGCCACCCGAGCGCTGCTCATGCGGCGAATGGGCCGAGGGTGGTGGCGGCGAGCCGGCCACAAAGAAATTGTTAATCTCACTTATCTGAGTGGCCGCATCGTCCGCAAAGCGCTTGTTGTCAATGATCAGATGGTAGGCGATGGCCAGCTGGTCGTGCGGATCGCCACTGAGCAGGGAGTTGTGCACCTCGGACTCCTTGACGCCGAACTTGGTGCAGACCTCGGCCACGGCGTACGTGTCGATGACGTTCGAGTCCTGCTCAATGGACGAGGGGAAGAGATAGGCGGGCAGATCCTTCTGGAACCACTCGTGCTTCTTGATCTCCTCGATGGTGGCACGCTTCAGCGGATCCACCTGCAGCATCTGGCACACCAGATTCACCACCTGCTTGTTCAGGTACTCCGGTATGGGAAAGATGCCCGATTTGATTTTGCGAAACAGCGACGGCACATGCTCATCATCGAACGGCAGTGTGCCGCAGAGCAGCGCGTACAGGATGACACCACATGACCAGATGTCCACCTCCGGTCCGGCATACAGTTTGCCCGATATCACTTCGGGCGCCGCATAGTTCGGTGAGCCGCAAGACGTGCGCAAGAACTCGCCGTCGAGCATCATGTTGGACAGGCCAAAGTCGGCGATCTTCACGTGCATATTGTGATCGAGCAGCAAATTCTCTGGCTTCAGATCTCGATGCACTATCATGTGCCTGTGGCAGTAGTCCACGCCCGATATGATCTGCTGGAAGAAGCGACGCGCCTGATGCTCCTGCAGCTTGCCATGCTTAACAATATAATCGAATAGCTCTCCGCCGCTCACATATTCCATGATCATGAATATATCCGATGGTGTGGAGATGACCTAGATAAGTAGAAAGTGTGTGTGAGAGAGAGAGAGAGATCAGATTGGAATCACTGAAACACATGGGATTCTGGGACGAAGCTTGCTATCATTAGTAAATTGAATCAGTCAAGCAACCATCCAATCAATCAGTTTTTCAATGAAAGCTAAGTCAATCAATATGTAAACTCACTGTCAATCACCATCAATCGCTGACTATCACTGACAGTCAGGCCTCTACTCAATTGCCCAAACAATTCAGTCTATCTACATATATATAAAGCATATACATATAAATATGTATATAATTAATGAGAATATCAATAGCTAATATTCACTGTTATTATTTATGCCATATATACATACATATTTACAAATTGATTACAAACTCTAAAATGGAAAATTAAACAAGCTG